GAAACCCCCCCCCCCCAACTCGGGCTGGAGCTTCTGATACCAATGTCTTTCCACCTGCTACTCCTTCTGAGGCCTGAGTTCTGCTGTCTGCTACTCTGGAATCTCAAGGCCTGGTGGGTCTCATCCCACTGGAGTCAACCAAGAGCACAACAGTTCGCTCCATGGGCTTGCCCACACAGCCCTACTTAACCCAATTAAAACAAAACAAACAAAACAAAAAAAACCCTGAGCTATATTTGGAGCACTATTCAATCCAAACATTACTTACAACAATAATTCTTGGCAAAAATACATTACAAACACCAAACAACAAATAAATACTTTCAGATCCGTCCTCTTCTCTCTATTCCTATTGCTGCTAATCAGTTCACCTTGTGCTGGGATACAGCAGCAGCCTCTCCGCTGTATCTCTGTTTCCTCTTTCAACCTTCCCACCCACGTCCGATGTCTCCTTCTGGCTCATCTTTCTAAATACAAGCTGGCCCATGTCACTCTCTGTCTTAAAAATTTCTCAGTGGCTCTCCATGACCCTCAGGCTGTAACAATGCTGTACTTGGGTCCCTGCCTATCACTCTCCACTGTCCACTCACTTGACCCATTCTAACCATCATGCGCCACCTGGCCTTTGCTGAATGAGCAGAATGCTTGAAGCATTCTGTCTTTGCACCCACTCTGCTCCCTTATTTGGTGTGGGGGTTAGGCCCATCCATACCTGGAGGCTCAGATCACACGCCAATCTTCTCTTCAGGATCTCTCACCCTGCCTGACCCCAGGCAAATCGGGATTAGGTGATATGGCTTTGCTCCAAACTCCCACAGCATTCCAAGCTTCCTCTAGCACGGCACTTACGTTGTACTTGACTTCTCTCTACATGCCCTTCTCCTTGTCTTTGCATCCCCAGAGCCCAGACCAGATGGACAGCTGGCTGCCCCCACAGATTTCACACTGAAGCTCCCTCCCTCTCAACAGAAAGCCCCCTCCTTATGGTGGTCTCTCGGGGACCACCTGCCACGTACTGACATATATTTCAGGCTGTTTACAAAAAACTGTTGTTTGTAAGCTGAAGACTGGCAAATCTGGACTTTCTGAAAGCAAAGACATATCTAAATCAGATTATTTTCATAGAAAGTCTTGATTCATCAGTTAAGGTATAATAATGTATTTTGAATAAGGAAGTTGACCATAGAAAAGTAACTAAAATCTAATGTACTGATATAAACAAAATAGATTACTTCCATATGTATATCCAAAAGTTCTCAGTTTATTCAGCATGTAAAATGTTTACACTTGCCTGGCATATCCACTAGAACTTGCTCTAAGTAATAAACAATGCATAGGAGAGGCATTTTTAGAATAATGAGATATATAAGAGACGGAATCACCCCATTGCTGAGGATTCCTCTGTCTCGCAGGGCAGAGGGTGTGGCGTCACCGCTCCTCTGCCTAGAGGTTCCAGAGCCTGCTTTGTCATCAGAACTAATTAAACGCTGTTAGTAAAGTGGAAAATTGTATGTTCCAATCACTGCATGGGGAACATGTGATGGGGCAAACTCTCTTCTTTGGAATAAATATTCTTTTATCACCTTTAAAGATGAAACTAGTCCTTTGGGGATACTTCTTTCTACATTTCTCATTTGTGTTCCAAGTGTAGATCCATGGCTGCTGCTTCTTTCCTACTCTTAGCCTTTGGATTCGGCAGGAAAAAGCGAGGAAAATGTCAACGAGCCTGATGTGATGACTCATGTGTTAGGAACTCTGTCCTCTTCAGAGTTGTTCTCTTTCAAATTGAGCTCTCCCATTATCCCAATAAGCCCTTTTCGTGGCTTCACAAAGTATCCTTTTCTGAGCAGCAAGACAGAGAAAATAATAGCTATCCCTTTAAACTGGTGTGCAAGAACCCCAGCTGCAACAATCGTTCTTGTTCTCCAACAAACCCCTTTCTCCTTCTCTAAGGGCAAATTTGACCTTGCGTTAACTTTCTATATCTGTTCCCCTGGAAACCAAAAGGTGGAATGTTAGCTGTGTTACTGGGTAACAAAGCACATAGTTAAAGTGATCCCTGATTGGTAAATCCTATAAACACCTGCTAGGAAGCCACAGCTCTAGGATTTCCTGAGTGTGGTGATTCTTGTAACTTAACACGACCCTCGTGGGGACTTTGGAAGCTATTACATGGAGTAGTTACGAGAGATACTGGCCCCTATTGGGCATCTAAGCCAAGAAAGACTCACATTCGCCAATATGCATCTTGTCTCCCCACACCTGAGCTATCACTTGAGGGGCCAGAGACTAGCCCCTGGAACTCTTGCAAATACTCCACTGAAGAGAAATGCTTGACACTGACTGACTGGCAAGCTGTGTTTCCTGCCTTGTGTCTTTCTAAGTGAATATCAGCCTAGTGCGGCCTATTGTAATGACCTTGTATGTCTGTACGATTAGTTGAAAACCCCCTCGTTGACGTGTAATAGCCAGCGTATAATGTGCGAATACTGGGTTTTCTAAGATGTGTTTTCTTAAAGACTTAGGCTAGAATGTTAACGAAAAAGAGTAAACTGATTCTCCCTTTAAAAAAAGCATAAATAATATAATACTAAGAGAAAACATTTTATATTCAGGCAACTACATTCTGACTGTAACCACGTAAAAATGATAAATTAACATGGTTAAGGTCTGGGAAGAAATAAAGAAATATTCGCATTGTTGTTTTGTTAAATGAGGGATGAAATGCAGGGTGATATTCTTTTAAAATTACTTATTATTGTATTATAATATGGTTTGTGAAATACTCCAACATTTTAAAAAATAAGTGGAAGACACTTTGACTGCATCGTGCTCAAACTAACCAGATGTTCCTTTCTCCCTAAGCAGTCCCACTACCCCTAATCACCCTCTTCACTTAGCCGTCAAAAATAGTGAAAAATGGGCCGGCCCGGTGATGCACTGCTACAGTGCGCCGCTTGGGAGTGCGGCGGCGCTCCCACCGAGGGTTCGGATCCCACATACAGACCGGTTCCCGCTCACTGGCTGAGTGAGGTGTGGACGCAGCACCGAGGGTTGCGATCCCGTTGCCGGTCCCGGTCCGGTACGGGTGCAACACTGAGGGCTGCGATCCGTTGCCGGACATGAAAAAAGAAAAAAAAAAAAAAAAATAGTGAAAAATATAAATCATAGCAAAAAAAAGTGGTAGAGGTTAAAAAACAAGATAAAAAGATACATGGGGAGGCTGGGAGTGGAATAAGGGGATAGCTTAATGTGATGGCTGTGACACTTACTGGCTCTGAGTCCTCCTTGTAGGGAAGTGTCACTGAGATACTGTCGTCAGGTGAAAGGCAGAGGCTGCCTGCTGCCTGGTACTCAGCATGGAGACTGGTTTTAAAAAGTACCTCTAAATATGATACTTAAAGAAAAAGGAAGCTGATACCCTATTTCTGTGATATATTCCTAGAATTTCAGTACTTTTGTTTTCTGCAAGTGAAATGTTTTGTTTCTTTTTTCATTCTGAGAATATAATCCCCTCATCAGGTCTCCATATTATATCTATAACTCAAAAGGTAAAAATATGTTCTTCCAACAATGGAATTAGACCAAAAAAGCCTGTCTTCAAATTCTAAAATCCTGCCTCCGATCTTCAAACCCTTGGTGGTTTGGGTCCTGATTAGATAAGGGGTCCTGTGTTAACTTCCCTCCCCAGGTAACAGCACAGCAACAGAGTGCAGGCAGCAGCTCCCAATTAAGAGTCCTTGAGTTTGATTCCAAAACACTGTCATGTTTTTGTAGAAGAGCGTACCCTGAGTCTCAGCCCTAGAAACATTTTTAAATGCCAACAATAACAGTAGATACCTGGAAACTTGTTCACTTGACCACAGAATATGTCATTGTCGTGAAATGAAACTCCATGCCAGTAGATATCGCAAGGTAAGCGTCGGCCAAATGGGAACTAGAAGAAAGAGAAAAAATGTGCTTAATAACAAGGACAAGAGGAGCAGTGAGCACACTGAGTGTTCATTATGTGCAAATTCCTAGCACCCCGTTATACATCCCATTATTTAATCCTCATAATAAGCATGTGAGGTACGTGATGTTCCTTCCCATTTTATAGATGAAGACACAGATTCAGACAGGTTTAATAACTTGCTCAGAGTGGCATGGCTCCGATTACATGTGGCAGACACTAGTCTACTGGCTTTACAAGCACTATTTCACTTTAATCTTTATAACTACCCCATAAAGGATTGTTCCTATTTTACTGATTAAAAACCTGGGGCTGAGAGAAGTAATTTAACATGCCCAAGGTCACACAGAGCTGGCAAGGGTAAGCACACGGATTTGAATCCAGGTCTGTCCAAATTCCAAGCCCATACTTTGCTTTCTCTGAAAACTGAAACGCTCAACCCAGCTCCCCCCAAATAAGCTTTCAGAGTCTCTCTCTCTTTCTTTATCTCCCACACCTCCACTGCCCCCCCCACTCACACTCACACACACACACACACACACACACACACACACGGAAGCTCCACAGGGCAGGATGTGTCCCTGGTGCCTAAAATAGTTCCTAAAACTCAGTAAAGACTTTTCTAATTAATAAGTGAACAAACCAGGAGTGGCCATCTGACTCAACATAAAATAACCATATTTCCTCTTGCAGGAATCTGGAAATCAGAGATACCAGGCAGCCTCTGCTGGCCCTTGAACTGGGAGTGATAAATAGCCAGAGCTGGGCAGCTGCGCTTGGCTGTGTGCACAGAGAAGCCAAGGAGCCAGTCTGCTGAGAGAGAAGAAAGGAGCAGGTGTAGAGGAAAGATAGAGATGAGGCCACGTATCTCCGGAAACACAGACTGAGTGACCTCAGTCCTCATAGCTTCCAGGTCCTGGGCCCAGACCCTCATGAGCCCAGCTGCTCCTGCTGCCCTTGGATCCTGTAAGCTCGCCTTGTGTCCTGAGAATACCTTCATGGTATTCGTAATTCCTCTTTGGCACAAGCTATAGGCTTTTGTTTATTTGTAGGCAGAAATCCCTCAATGAGACCAAAGGGCCTGTTCTTTCCACTACATCCTGCTGCTTCTCAAAGTTATCAACAAGTTCTGCATCTACAAAACGTACTTTTAAAATCTGTAACTCAGAGGACCTTGTTAGAGGAGAAAAGTGGGGACTGTTAGTTCATATTTAGAACTTGCTTGTTAAGATCCAAATGAAGAGAAATGCCAACACACTAAATAAAATAATTTGATTTTCCCATTCTAAGACTGTAGTTCATCAGAATTTTTATCTTCTTCAAGTTGAGGGGGCTGAGTTCCAATGGAAGAACATGGCGTTATTGATGATATGGAGTGACTCCCGCTTTCCAACCATTCCAAGTTAAAATGAAGGCAGACAGGCTCGAGCCTTTTGAATCAGTCACATTATTTCAAAGCTGTGCCAAAGTGAGGCATATGTTATACACTCTATTAACATTAACAACTTCCATCTATAATTTATAGCATTTCACTGATTTTCTTTGCATCCAATAGGCTGTAAGTTACTAATTCAGTAGCCATAAATACAAAGAGACACAACATATGTTATTTTTTTTCCACTTGGTAAAGGCTAATATAGAGATGAGAAAAAAAATAATTAACCAGAGAGGCTTCTCTATAAAGCAGGCCAGCCAAGAAAAGTGTACTAAGATCGAAGTGGTTTTGTTGCCTGCAATGAGGGGCCAACATTTGCTCCTCATCAGTGGACAACCTGATGACTCTTTTTCCTCATATTGTCATCCCTCAGTCCTTACCACCCTCATGAATACGAAATCAATACTTTAGATCATTCAGCTTTGAGAAACTGCCATTTTTTAAAATTACCATCCATTCAATAATTATTATATGCCAGACACTGTGTGAGATGCCAGGAATACAGAGGAACACAATTGTAAATAGGCCCCAGGACTTCATAATCCTAATTCCTTTCAAACTCTTTTTTTAAAACTGTCTGATTACACAGCTAACATCATACTCAAAGATAGAGAAGACTGAAAGCTTTTCTTCTAAGATCAGGAACAAGACAAGGATGCCCACTATAACCACTTCTGTTCTACACAGTATTAGAAATTCTAGCCAGAGCAATAGGCAAGAGAAATAAAGAAAACGCATTCACATTGGAAAGGAAAAAGTAAAATTATCTCTATTCATAGATGACACGATCCTATACATAGAAAACCCTAAAGATTCCACAAAAAGTTGTTAAAAATAATAAATCCAGCAAAATTGCAGGATACAAATCAACACATAAAAATCAGTTGCATTTCTATACACTGACAATGAACAATCCAAAAAGGAAATTTAAAAAACAATTCCATTTACAATAGCATCGAAAAGAATAAAATAGTTAGGAATGAACTTAACCAAAGAAGTGAAAGATCTGTACACTGAAAACTACAAAATGTTCCTGAAAGAAATTAAAGGAGAACAAAAAAATGGAAAGATATTCAGTGTTCATAGATTAGGAGATTTAATATTGTTAATATGTCAATACTACCCAAAGTGATGTATAGATTCAATGCAGTCTGTACCAAGTCACAATGACATTTTTTTAAAACATAAATAGAAAAATTCTTCCTAAAATTCATATGGAATAACAAGGGACTGCAAATAGCCAAAACAATCTTGAAAAAGAACAAAGTTGGAGGTCTCACACTTCCTGATGTCAAAACTTATAACAAAGCTACAGTAATCAGACTGTGTGAAACAGCAATGAGATATCACTGCTGCAATGAGATACCACTGATTGGAATGGCCAAAATCCAAAACATCGACAACACCAAATACAGGCAACAAATGTGGAACAACAGGAACTCTCATTAATTCCTGTTGGGAATGCAAAATGGTACAACAATTTTGGAAGTCAGTTTGGCAATTTCTCAACAGTACTAAACATAGTATAACCATATGACCCAGCAATTGCACTCCTTGGTATTTATCCACATGAGTTGAAAAATTGTGTCTACACAAAAACCTGCAAACGAATGTTCATAGCAGCTGTATTTACCAATTGCCAAAACCTGAGAGATGTCCTTCAATAGGTGAATGGATAGATAAACCATGGTACATCCAGACAATGAAATATTATTTAGCACTAAAGAGAAGTGAATTATCAAGCCACAAAAAGACATAGAGGAGCCTTAAATGCATATTAGTAAATGAAGCAAGCCAATCTGAAAGGGCTACATGCTGTATGATTCCACCTACATGACATTCTGAAAAAGGCAAAACTATGGCAACAGTGAAAAAATCAGTGGCTTCCCAGGGTTGAAGGGGAGGGAGAGATGAACAGGCAGAGCACAGAGAACTTTCAGTGCAGTGAAACCGCTCCGTATGATACTACAGTGTTGGATACATATCATTATACATTTTTCAAAACCCTTAGAACATACATCAAGAGTGAACCCTAATGTAAACTGTGGACTTTGGATGATAATGATGTGTAAAAATGTAGGTTCATCGACTGTAACAAATACATCAGTCTGATGCAGGATGTTGATGGTGAGAGAAGTTGTGTATGGGGGAGCAGTTAAGAGGTATTTGGGAAATCTCTGTACCTTCTGCCTAAATTGGCTGTGAACATAAAACTGCTCTAAAAAATCAAAAAATAAGAAATATAAGTTAAAAAAAAATGAAAACAAAAACAGTGTGATACAGGCATAAAGACAGACATGTAGACCAATGGAACAGGATAGCCCAGAAACAAAGCCTTTTGTAGATGGCCAAATGATTTTCAACATAGGTGACAAGACTATTCAACAGGGAAAGGGTAGTCTTTTCAATAACTGGTGCTAAGAAAACTGGATATCCACATGCAAAATGAATAAAGTTGTACCCTTACCTCACACCATATACAAACATTAACTCAAAATGGATGAAAGATCTAAATATAATAACTAAAAACATTGAAAGTATTCGAGGGCTGGCCTGTTACTCAGTTGGTTAGAGAATGGTGCTGATAACACCAAAGTCCAGGGTTTGCTCCCTATACCAGCCAGCTGTCAAAACAAACAAACAAACAAACAAAACCATTAGAAGAAAACATAGGGGGAGAAGCTTCATAACATTGGATTTGGCAATAATTTCTTGGATGTGATACCATGAGCACAGGCAACAAAAGAAAAAAATAGGTAAATTGAACTTCAAAATTAAAAACTTATTTGCATCAAAAGACTCTATGAACAGAGTGAAAAGGCAACCCATGGAATGGGAGAAAATATTTGAAAATTATATATCTGATAAGGGATTAGTATTTAGAATATATTTTAAAACTCCTTCAATTCAACAACAACAAAAACAATACAATTAAAAAATGGGCAAAGGTCTTGAATAGACATTTCTCCAAAGAATATGTATTAATGGCTAATGAGCACACGAAAAGATACTCAACATCACTAATTAGAGAAATGCAAATCACAATCACACGATACCACTTCATACCCATTATGATGACTATTATCAAAAACAAAATCAAAGCAGAAAGTCGTGAGTATTGACAAAGGTATAGAAAAGTTGGAATCTTTGTATATTGGGAATATTGAAAGCCACTGTAGAAAACAAAATTACTGGGTGATCCAGCAAGTCCACTTCTGGGTATATACTCCAAAGAATTGAAAGCAGGGACTCACACAGATATTTGTGCACCAACGCCCATAGCTGCATTACGCATAATAGCCAAAGGGTGGAAACTACTCAGTGTACCCATCAACAGATGAATGGATAAACACAACGTGATGTATACATATAATGGATATTATTTAGCCTTCAAAATGAGTGAAATTCTGACAAATGCTACAACATGAATGAACCTTGAAGACATTATGCTAAGTGAAATAAGCCAGACACAAAAGGACAATTATGGTATGGTTCCATTTATATGAGGTACCTAGAGTTGTCAAATTCATAGAGATGGAAGGAGAACGGT